ACAAAGAGAAAAAGTATGCAGAGTTACAAGCTGTCTATAGGAGCGTCTGAGCAAGAAAAAAGCATTTGCCTCTCTCCTAACGAGTATATTTTTGTGTATAAATAGAAGTGTTCTGTATAGAGAAAAATCAAGAACTTGAAGAGAAAAATCTGTGTGCTCCAAAATTTTGAGTATATTGTATTCTGCTCTTTCACTTTCAGATCTAAGTGTAGTCTTTGTTCTTACACTTTCATATCTATTCTTTGTGAGAGAATTATTGTTAAAGAAGGTTGAGCACCTCTTATCCTTATTTATTATTTTGTGAAGGAATTTTGTAAAAGTGAGGAATTTATTATTGAGTGAGGCTCAATAGATAAAATTAAGACCTGCAAAATCCACAGGATTTGTGAAACCTTGGTGGTGTATTGATTCATTTTGATAATAAAAAAATTCTTAAGGAGGTTCCTTGGAGAGTGGGCGTAGGCCTGACGTGCCGAACCACTATAAATCTCAGTGTTTGATTTTTTCTCTCTATCTCTCTTACTTCTATATTGATAATTATTGTTCTATTTTTTTATTTGTTAAAATTTTAAATATTGTGTTTATTATTTTTAATATTGTAACATTTTTTAATAACCCAATTTACCCTCTCTTGGGTTTCCTACCTGGGGTAACAGATTTATTTTCTAAAACATAAATCTGAAGTTTATACTACTTTTAAGAAGTGGAAAGCCTTGGTGGAGACTGAAACAGGTTTGAAAATAAAGTGCTTGAGATCAGATAATGGAGGGAAATATGAGGACACTAGGTTCAAGAAATATTGTGCAGAAAGTGGAATTAGAATGGAGAAGATTGTTCAAAAGACACCTCAACAGAATGGCATTGTAGAGCGCATGAATAGAACTCTTAATGAATGTACTAGAAGTATGAGGATACATGCCAGGTTACCAAAGATATTTTGGGCAGATGTAGTTAACACTGCAGCATATCTGATTAACCATGATCCATTTGTTTCATTGGATGGAGAGCTACTAGAAGAAGCTTGGAGCGGTAAAGAGGTAAATCTTTCTTTTTTTGAAGGCATTTGGCTGTGTTTCATATGTGCATATAGATTCTGTTGATAGAAGTAAACTTGATCCAAAATCTGTTAAATGTACTTTTATTGGGTATAGCATTGATCAATTTGGTTATCGGTTTTGGGATAATAAAAATTGAAAAATAATTAGAAATAGAGATGCCATATTTAATGAGAAAGTAATGTTTAAGGATAGGGATAAGTCTGCATCTGAATCTGAATCTGTTACTTGTCATGAGCATGTTAAGTTAGAGGAGATTAGTGAGAATGATTTGATTAGTAGGATTCAGAATAATCTTGAAAATCTTATTCCACAATCTGAGCCATATACTCCTACTCCTAAGTTGAGATGGTCAGAAATAGAGTCTAAACCTACACAGCGTTGGTCTCAATCTTTACATTATTTGTTGTTGTTTGATGGGGGTGAACCCGAAAGTTATGGTGAGGCTTTGCAGGTTGATGATTCAATCAAGTGGGAGTCAGCTATGCAGGATGAAATGGATTCACTCGTGGCAAACCAGACATGGGAGTTGACTAAATTACCAGTGGGTAAAAAAGATTTGCACAACAAGTGGGTTTATAAGGTCAAATAGGAACATGATAAGAGTAAACGCTATAAGGTCATATTGGTTGCAAAGGGATTTCAGCAAAAGGAAGGGGTTGACTACACTGAAATTTTCTCTCTAGTTGTGAAGTTGACCACTATCAGATTGGTGCTGGGAATTGTGGCTGCTGAAGATTCGTATTTTGAGCAGATGGATGTGAAGATGGCTTTTCTCCATAGTGATTTGGAGGAGAAAATTTACATGAAGTAACCATAAGGTTTCTTGGCACATGGCAAAGAGGAGTTTTTATGCAAACTTTGAAAAAACTTGTATTGTTTGAAACAGGCCCCAAGGCAGTGGTACAAGAAGTTTGATGGGTTTATGTGTAGCAACGGTTTTACAAGATGTCAAGTAGATCATTACTATTATTTCAAGAGGTTTGACAAAAGTTATATTATGTTGCTCTTATATGTGATGATATGCTTATTGCAAGATCTAGCATTGAAGAGATAAAAAGATTGAAGAAACTTTTGTCCAACCAATTTGAGATGAAGAATCTTGGAGTTGCCAACAAAATTCTTGGTATGAGGATTCATAAGGACAAGGCAAATGGTACTTTGAAGTTGTCACAGGTTGAGTATGTCAAGAAAGTTCTCAAGAGGTTTAGCATAGATGGTGCAAAACCAGTGAGCACTCCATTGGCTAGCCACTTCAGACTTACTAAAGAGCAGTCTCCGACGACCGAAGAAGAACAGGCTTACATGGAACGTGTTCCATATGCTTCAGCTATGGGTAGCATAATATATGTTATGGTTTGTACTAGACCAGACATTGCAAATGCAGTGGGAGTGGTTAGTAGGTACATGAGTAATCCAGGCAAGCAGCATTGGGAGGCAGTGAGGTGAATCCTTAGATACTTGAGTGGTACTACAGACATGACACTTTGATTTAGACGAACCGGCATCGGGTTACATGGTTATGCTGATGACTTGGTTGGTGATATGGATAACAGAAAGAGTACTATTGGTTATGTTTATACATTGTGTGGTACAACAGTGAGTTGGATTTTATAGTTACAGAAGATTGTGGCCCTTTCTACAACAGAGGCTGAGTATGTTGCTATTACTGAAGCTAGGAAGGAGATGACTTGGTTACAGAATTTCCTAGCAGAGTTGGGTAAAACGCAAAAAATGAGTATTTTGCATAGTGACAGTCAAAGTGCTATTCATCTTGCAAAGAATCCGACTTTTCATTCTAAGACGAAACATATTCAGCTGCGATACCATTTTATTCGTTCACTTGTAGATGATGGAGTCTTGTCTCTTGAAAAGATCCAAGGCAGTAAGAATCCAACATATATGTTGACCAAGATAGTCACCATTGACAAACTAAAGTTGTGTGCAATTTCAGTTGGCCTTCAAGATTAATGAAGAAAGATCGAGTTGTTGTGGTGTTCCTCTATGTGATGAAGATGATGGAGAGCTTGTGTTATCAGCTTCCAAGTGGGAGATTATTGGGTCAATGGACCCTGATAAGTACTGTTCACTCAACCCTACTATTCACTCAAACATTGGGTTGAATGAGAGGTTTTGGGTACTTTCGTAATTCCAATGTGGTTCCGTATAACCCTTATTCTATATTTATAAATAGATAAAGGGGTGCCTCTTTTAGGTTAAAAAGAGAGAGTTGTATTTTTCTGATCATAGTAAAAACCGTAGCAGCCGTGAACGTGACCCTATTATGGGGTGAACTATGTAACTCATTGTGTTATTGTGTGTGTGATTTGTTTGATTCGTTAATTTTTTTTTCTTATTTGTTATTTTATGTCTCACGGATCTTGGTTAGGAAGTGCCAATTCCCAATAAAAGGTTCATCAAAAACAAAGAGAGAAAAATCATTCACCATTTATGAAGATGTGACACTTTGCAAAGCTTGGTGTCACATTTTCTGAAGATCTAATTGTTGGCAATTTGCAATCTTATGCTCACTTTTGAGGGAGAATTTATAAAAATTATTGCCTATTTCAGAATGATCAGTCAAGAACACAAGTGTCTATCCAATTTCAATGGGGTATAATTATGAAATGTTCTAACAAATTTTGTTGATATTTAGTGCAAGTCAAAAATGTACACCCAAGTGGAATGCTCCAAGTTGATATAGTAAGATTTTATCTTCATTTATTATGTTAATTTTTTATTTCATATTGCATAAAAGTTAACTAACTAATTAATATTTTATTGATACAGATGTTTCAAGTAAAACTTTTATACCATCAAGATGAAAATAAATATTTTATTTTTGAACATTGTTGGTCAATCTTGCAAAAAATAATATCAAATGGCAAGATGTAATTCCTACGAACACAGTGAAGTTAAGAATACATACACCGCTTTCCCTTAATTCAGGCCCTGAATCTCTTATAGATAACTACATTTCTCTTGAAGACGACAACAGTTTAAGTATTGGTAACAATCCAACTGACGATAATAATCCAATTGGTAAGGGTAGTGTCTCTACAAGGGGTAAAAGGCCTATAAGTAGAAAATCTGCAACATAATTGTTTCGAAAAAATCAAGTTGTTTGAAGTTGAAATCTACAAACTTAACAATTTGTTGAAGACATTTAATTAACACCTTACTGAGAAGGAAATGAAAAAAACTGAAAGAGAAGAAAAAAATGATTAAAGAACTTAAGAAAAAAAAGAAAGAACATTTGATAATGACTACAAACATTTTTCATTTGGACCTTCAAACAAAAGCGTATTGCAAAATACGTAAAAATGAGATTTTCGCTAAGTGATACGCACATGTCAGCAACCTAAATTACTATTTTCTTCGACCTCCTGATGAATAATTACGGATGAATGTATTTTTTAATTTTGAAATGTCATTTATTTGTCAATGTAATTTTTATTATTTCTTTTTAAATATAATTTTTATTTTGCAATGTAATGTAATGGTCCATGTAATTTTAATATAGTTAATAATTTATTTTTTAAATTTTTTTTTGTAGTCGTATGTTTTTTTTGGTGGCATGAATTATATAATATAAAAAAATTTAATTTTTTTACATTTGTCTAGTCGGGTATAGTGTAAATATTTAATTTTTAATTTTTTTAAAAAAATATCACAAAAGACAAAAAATAAATAACAAAAAAATTACGAAAAAATTTATATTCAAATATAACTCACAAAATTAAAAAAAAAATTAATTAAAATTTATTATTATGTGACCATTAAAGTATCATTATCATAATTTGACAAGTTTTTATTATTTATTTATTATTATGTGACCATTAAAGTATCATTATCATAATTTGACAAGTTTTTATTATTTATTGTCAAATTATAACTATGACAAATGCTATCTTCTTGGCAGTTTTTTTATTTTATTTTAACAGCTTTGTTAGCAGCTTCGGACAGAGAGAAATTAGGCGAGGGTGATTGATTGACTCTCTCTCTCTCTCTCTCTCTCAGAGACCCTTCTCTTTCTCTTTCTCGCTTCCGATATCTCTCTCTCCAACCTCCTGCTGTTATGGCTTTCTCTCAGAATTCTCGACAATCTCTCATCCCAAGCTTTCTCTACTCTTCTTCCTCATCATCTAAAGCCCTAATTCTTGAGAAAATGACCTTCAGTTCAAACCCTAACCTCTGCTCTTCACCAGCATCATCGTCACCTTCCGCAAATGGAACTGAGGGACTCTCCTCATCGCACAAGAGCTTTGTCATCTTCAAATACCAAAACAAGCCTCGCAAGATCGAGTTGTACTCTCCTCAGTACTATGCCGCTTGTACGGTCGGTGGAATCCTCAGCTGTGGCCTCACTCACACGGCCGTTACTCCTCTTGACCTCGTCAAGTGTAATATGCAGGTCCGTCCGACCGACCGACCTTCCTCGATCTGTTTACCCCCCCTCTCTCTCTCCGCTATTTTTCTTCATTCATGATCACTCTACTCTTTCGATCTGATTCTTTCTTAATCCGGATCGGCCTCCCGTGTCATTTTTACACCAATTTCTGTATATCTCCATGAAATAGGCCTAGATTTGTAACTATCTGTTGCTGTTAGCCATTTTATCTTCTGATTTGGCTTTGTGATTCGTATATTCAATAATTTTATGCCAGACTTGTCTCTGCATTAGATCTGTTGTCGTGCATTTTTTTTTTTGATTGTCTTGTTCATGCTTCAGATCTTCTTCAGGTTTACTGCTTATATATATATATATATATGTATGTTCTTCAGGCTTACAGCTTACTTTGTTGACTTGTGCTTTACTAAAAATCGACTAGGTCTATGGAACTATTGATTCATTGCTGAAATAGGTACAAGTTCTTCAGAGCCGTTTACATCTGCAATTATGCTAGATCCCAATTTTCTCATTAATTTTTCATTACATAGGTTTAGAATCTCTTGAATTGGCTGTTCTGCTTAGGCATTAATTTCTACTGATACTTTATTTTCCCTTTTTCCTTCATGATTTCATTTCTATTTTTTTGATTTCTGCATTTCGGAGTCTCTAAAATAATATACTTACACATATGTTAGCGGAAATTCTATTTGGCATCTGTCACACGACCTGTGTGTGATGTTATATATTATTTTTATGGAATGAAAGGGTGATGTTTTTGATTTTGTGATTGTCATATGTTCTTACTTGAGCAAGCAAATTTATGCTGGCTTTGTCTCACTAACCCTTCCTTGATGATATTCTCTAGTTTTTGCTGTGTAAGGATGTTCGAGGTGATTTATGCCATAATTTAGACCTTTCATCTGTGTTACTAAGTTTACATGATACTGATATGTTAGTTTCCCTTATTCCTCTGTGGTTTCATTTCTATTTTGTGGATTTTTTTGTTGTTGTTTTGGAGTCTCTCTCTCTACATTAGAGGGGAAATTCTATTTGGCATCTCTCACTCCTCTGTGATGTTTATATATTATAAACTTATGTGACAAAGGGCGATGTGTTTGATTTCGTGATCGCCATATGTTCTTACTTGAGCAAGCAAATTTACACGAGTGTTGTTTTACTAGATTGACCCTTCAAAGTACAAGAGCATCTCGTCTGGTTTTGGAGTTTTGCTGAAAGAGCAGGGCGTCAAGGGACTTGTCAGGGGATGGGTGCCCACTCTGCTTGGTTATAGTGCTCAGGGTGCCTGCAAGTTTGGCTTCTATGAATACTTTAAGAAGTACTACTCCGACATTGCTGGACCAGAGTATGCAGCCAAATACAAAACTCTGATCTACCTTGCTGGTTCGGCTTCTGCGGAGGCCATTGCTGATGTTGCTCTTTGCCCCTTTGAGGCAGTCAAGGTTCGTGTTCAGACTCAACCTGGTTTTGCAAGAGGATTGGCGGATGGATTGCCTAAATTTGTCAAATCTGAAGGCATTCTTGGGTATGCTTATGAACTATTTCTTTTGTTTTAACAATAAGCTAGTAATTGGAATATTTATATTGTAGTTTAAATTTCTTAGAACCTTTGTAGGTTGTACAAGGGCCTTGTTCCTCTGTGGGGGCGTCAGATTCCATGTAAGTTAAGGGTCGTCCATATGACAGCTTTCGTCTTTTCCCAGTATATTTTTTATAAGAAAAGACCACTTTTTTTTCCCCAATATATGGATTTTACATTATTGTTAATTAGTGACTTGACTCATGGTTTTGAATTGAAAACGTTAAACTGCTGATTAATGACATCTTGCTTATGGTTATCAACAGTTGGTTATTTTCTGCTGGATTTTATATTGCATTCTTGTTATTTTATTTACTCGTGCTCTGTTAGCTTTCTTGCATTCCTGTTGCTTTATAATGCATTATGCGTTCCTGCTATGTTAATTTTCTTGCATTTTTTACATGACAGCCTTGATTTCTCAATTATTTTGATTCCAAGTTCCACTTTCCTGCTATTTCATCTTTCTTCTTTATTTCTTCAAATACCAAAACAAAAAATATTTTTAGTATTACTTCTTTAAATAATTATGCACACAAATGAGCACATACTTCCGATCATCATCTTTAGACTTTAGTTCTTTAATCCACATGCTCTTACAAAAATTTTATCCTGGCTCTCTTAAATACTTTTTGTTTGCATGATGTGAATGTTATTTATCACTGAATATTGCTTTTTTCAACTTAGTGGTTTTCCACATTTAGTTGTTATGATTTAGGCGGCCGTTATTTTCTGGGAGCAACATCTGCTGTTTATTTCCCTCAGGTTTGGTTTATGAGACTGGAGATACTTTTTTCATGATTATTTTGGATAAATCACATAATCAATAACATGTACGGTGTTGCCAAAGGTGATGTATTATTATTTTGGATAAATCACATAATCAATAACATGTACGGTGTTGCCAAAGGTGATGTATTATTTCCCATTTTTGATATAACAGGAGATACAAAAATTGTATCCAATCTACACCTCCCAGACCACCATCAGCGTACTTTTAGGAGATACAAAAATTGTGTGCTTTCCCAACCTTCCACAACCCCCCCCCCCCAAAAATCTTCTCTTTCTGAACACAGCATTCAAATTTACCAAGTGGTAACAAATTTGAATGCATAATGATTATGCATTATAACACAAGAAATATTCAAGGGATAAACTATATCAAAAGGTCTACAGTGGAGGGATTTAGCAATTAATAACTTTCTTTTCTGCTATTGTTTGACTATTGTCAGTTGGTTTCTTCTGATTATATTTTGTTTGTATCTGCCAGAGCTCAAATGTTGTTGTCCTTGCCCTTTTGTTTTTTGTGTTTAGTCTGAATATGCAGTACCTTTAATGTTGCCATTTTGTGTGTTCACGGTGGAATAAGTTATAACTTGCAGTCTGCTTATCTTGTTGCTTGATTTCACGTACACTTTCTGTTCTGTCATTTGGACGTGAACTCAACTGGTATAGTGAAAATTGATCTGCTCTTTGATTGGTTCATTGTGTATATCTTCTGATATAGATATTCATAGTATAATTTGCAAAACTATCGATTAAGAAGTCAAGCTACCTCTTTAAATGGTAAAAAATGTGAGTGTTTTCTTTTTCTTTCTTATATTTGGTGAGTAAACTCCTATACATCTGCTCTCACATCCTGCAAGATTGTCTTAACTATTTCTTCGAATGGAATTGGTAACTAACATCTGGGACCTTGGGCACAAGTCCATAATCCCTATTTCCCTGGAGTACATGAAGAAGATTATACTAAGAGCATAAGGGCATAAAAGCCACCATGGATAATTATTTAGCCTAAAATAGTGAACAATTCAAATTGAATAAATAAATTATTTGAACAACAAAATTTTAATTCAGAAATCGTATAAGCAAAATAATCATAATCATGGTACAGAACAAAACAAAAATCATTAAAGTGACAATTAAAACAGAGGTCAATGGATCCATGATAAACAGGAGGCCACAAAGTGACCAATCAGAAACTAGTGGTTTATTTAAGTCCTCCAAGGCATGGGACTCCCGTGGTGGTATTTACAAAAATAATTATTTATATAATCATTATCAAATAATTTATAAAATTTAACCAATCATATCCATGAGTTTCAATTTAAGCAAATAGAGTTCATAAAATAATCAACGTAATTAAAATATTAATATAACTTATAAAACATGAATTGCATAAAATAAATTATGGTAATTCGAGATATACATAAAATATGTTATGGTGATTCAAGGTATAATATAACTCACCTTAGTATAGATTCCTTCTATTTATTTCTGCTGTGAGCCTTTTCACCTCTGCCTTCTTTTTTTTTTTCTCTTTTCCCTTACTGCCTTGACAACCCCCCCTTTATACATACATGACCTTGGGTGGTGAATCACCCTGTAATTATGCCCCTAAGTTGATGACTAACCCCCCCCTCCCCAAGTGCTAGACAGCACAAATGGCTCAACTTTCGTCCCTCTAGCATTTTGCACACCTTTCTTTTAATCTACATAGCCCCCAACTTTTCTCTCTAATTAATTGTTGTGATAACTTGGCCCCCAAGTAAAATATATTCATCATATTTTTGATATATCAATGCCCAATGAAATTACATTTTAGCACGTATAATTACGTAATTAGATATTTTTATTATATATATATATATATTTTTACATGGTGTTAAATTAAATATTTGGGGTGTCACATTTATCTCCTTCTAAATAGATGTTTGTCTTTAAACTTGTTGTACGTTAGTTTTCGAAAAAATGTGGATATCGAGTCCGCATTTGACTCTCAATTTTACGTTAGTTTTCGAAAAAATGTGGATATCGAGTCCGCATTTGACTCTCAATTTCCTATGTAGCTTCTTCAACACGATGATTCCGCCGATTCCGCTATAAAACTTTTACAAGAGGTATAGTCTTGTTTCTGAGAATTTGATCACGACGGTCGAGGATCTGTATCGGCTACTCTTTATAAGAGAGATCGTTTTGAACTTCGAGGTCTTCGTGATCAATGAGATGTTCTGGATCTCAAAGATATCATCAGAGCATTGACACATGAAATATATTATGAACATTGGACAATTCTGGTAGAGTCATTCTGGTTCGAGCCCCCAAGAGCCCACCTTGTCTTGAATCTACTAGAGGGGTGGGGGAGATTCATAGAGTATCGTCAGATAGGCCCACCTAAGACTTGACCGGCTTATGGGAGAGACCTGTATACTTACTGGCTGACCCCGGTGAGGATTTTTGGTTTTGGAGACTTAACCGTGGCAGCACACGCAAGAGATACATTGGGCCGACCCATGTCATTCATTGGTCTTACTCCTGATCTAGGACATCCGCACTTTTTGGTTGCATCTTTGTCCCTGGGCTTTATGGAGAGGAGAGGGCACGCGTACCCCAGTAGCCACATACGTACTACGACGCCTACCCCACAACACATTATCCATATCCCAGCTGTGGATTTCATTGATAGCGCGACATACTTGGAGGTACCTGTACGGATTACTGGGCGGGAGTTCTGGGGACACTATCATGGCGTCCCTGTCTATATGGTATAGGTTGTATGGCGTTGTTTTGGAATAGAGCATAGTGGCTGGGAGTTTGAGTCCCTTATGCAGAGTGAGTTTGCAGGGCTGTTTCATGGTCCGGTCTTTCAGAGCCAGTTCTCGTGGTTGCTTAACGGTCCATTTTAGATGCTCAACTAGGAGACTTTTGTAAACTGACCATGATTAGTTTGATCTTTATTTTTGTATTAGTAGGATTAGACACTAAGGGTATGTTTGGTTTGTGTTTGAGAGATGTGTTTTAGAGATAAAAAGTACGAAAAGTTGTTTGGTTTGGTTTTGTTCAAAAGATGTTTTGGAAAATTATTTTGAGAGAGAGTTTTGGAAAAAGTGATTGATTTGATATGTGTGAGAGAGAAATTTGTTTGGAAAACTTGTTTGGTTTACAAGTTTTGAGAATTTTTTTTGGAAAAATTTGTTTGGTTTGATTACTTTTAAAAACTTATTTGTAGAGAAAATTTTTCAAAAATTTTTCAAAAATACAAACCAAACGAACCCTAAGGCCTTGTTTGGCATATACTAAAAAAGTCAAAAAGTCACTATCCTATTTAAGTCACATTATCTTATTTAAGTCACATCACCTCTCTATCACATCATTTCAAACCCAACCCATATTTCATAAAAAGTCAAAAAGTGCACTTATTTAGAATATCCCAAACAAACCCTAAGTGTTTGTTTGGCATGTGTTAAAATAACACATGTTATTTTAGCACATTATCCTATTTGGGTCACAATCATCTTATTTGGGTCACATCACTTCAAACCCAACCTATATTTTATGTTTTTTGGCAAAAAGTCAAAAAGTATACTAATGTAGCACTTCTCAAACAACTCCCAACTCCTGACTACTATATAAGTATGTAGTACTAATACCATATTTGTAGTAAAGCTAGTATTTTATATGTATATATATATATATATGATGTTTTATAAATGTGATGCCATATTCATTAATTTTTTTTTTACTTAAATCTACTTTGTAGTAATGGCCAATGATGGTAATGGGATCGGGTCGTCAGTTAGCGGAATAGAATCAATGGAAAGAATCATGGAAATAACAGTTACCAGTTTTCTGCAGGCTCTGCAAACCGACATAAATAATGGAATGCCCGAACAGCGAGAAAAATCACTTATGATAAAACAGTTCCAAGGTTTGAGACCCATCACATTTATTGGCAGTCCAAATCCACTGGTATCAAAAGCTTGGGTTAGGGAAATCGTGACCAAGGCAAGATTCTTGGAAATATTTTACGAAAAATACTTTCTGGATTCACTACGAAAACAAAGGTATCGAAATTCATAGACCTAAAGCAGGGAATAATGACGGTGGCCGAATACGAAAGCAAGTTGACGCAACTGGCTCGATTTGCGACATGTCATTTCCACCGAAACTTGGAAAGCTAGGAAGCTCAAAGTCGGCTTAGATGATGGCATCAGAAACAAGATTAAGGTTCTGAAAATGCCAACCTATGTTGGAGTGGTGGATCGAGCATACATTGTGGAAAAAGGGATTAAATCTTCGCGTTCCAGGGAAACGAGCCAAAAGAAGCGATTTTGAAAAAAAGGCAACAGAAGATCTAGTATTGCACCCCTAAAGAAGGTAAATACGGGTTCAATTAGTTCAGGCAATCAAGGTCCTACTAACCCCAGAAATGGCACTATTCCAAATTGCCCTACTTGTGAGACTCCGATTTTGAAAAAAAGGCAACAGAAGATCTAGTGTTGCACCCCTAAAGAAGGTAAATACGGGTTCAATTAGTTCAGGCAATCAAGGTCCTACTAACCCCAGAAATGGCACTATTCCAAATTGCCCTACTTGTGAGACTCATTGGGGATGATGCTATCGAGACACGGGAGCATGCTTTAAATACAGGCAAATTGGCCATTTGCTGCGGGATTGTCAGCTACACTTTCTATCTGTGGTCATTTAGCTCATGTTCTCTTTGACTCTGGTTTAACTCATTCTTTTGTTGCACCATACTTTGCTTCCAAGTTAGCATCAACACCCCGAACTCTTAGGATATATACTATCTGTGTCCTTTCCTACTGGTAATTCTACCCTTGGTACTGATGTGTACAAATCTTGTGTTATATCCTTAAAAGGTGAAACCTTGTACATAGACTTGATTTCCCTCCACATTGGTAATTTTGATGTGATCTTAGGAATGGATTGGCTAGTTGCCAACTACTCTTTTATCAATTGCAAAGCTAAAAAGGCATCCTCTAGTTACCAAACCAACTTGAACTTGTCTTTGATGGAACTGGGATTTCCACCCCAACATGTGTTATATCCTCTATGACAGCCCAACAACTTTTAAGAAAGGGGTGTTATGGTTATATCTATTATGTGATCGATACTTAATAGGAAATCCCCACACTTGATGCAATCCCTGTGGTTAGAGAATTTCCAGATGTCTTTCCTGAACACCTACTTGATACCTCAGTTGACCGGGAAATCGAATTCACTATTGAAACACAACCTGGTACACAACCAAAATC